TGTAGCAAAAATTTTATTAGTCGATTTCACTTAGTTTTGGAAATAAGACGTTTTTCTGGACGAAAATATGCACTTTTTAAAAATTTATTACACAAAAACTAAGACAGCTAGAACAAATTTTTTCTTACTTCTGCAAAAAAAAAGTACAGTATTTAAAGCTGTAGAAATTTTTTGGTGTTTTGCATTTGTAAAGATTAATAAATTAAGAAGTTTGTCAAAACTTAAATAACTGAAAAAATTTAAATGGAACACCCTATTTTTTATTTTTGCATCTATAGATTGATAAATTGTCTATCTTATAAACTTTTAATGTCTGAAGCAATAAATGAAAAGATATTTAACATTCAATATTAATTGTAGCAACAATGCCTATCAATATCTGAGCATTATTGATACTATGGCAACAAAGTCGTTATAAATACTCAAAGAATAATGGATTCAGTTTAACACAAATGTGATATTTCTAAGTGATATTTCTTTCATCTCTTGTGCAACTGTGCACTTTTTGGCTACTGAAAAAATAGTAATTATTTTTTTAATGTTTAACGTTAAATATCTTTTATCTGCAAACGTCACAAAAGTGACCACTTTTATGACTAAATGACACAGGTAAAAGTTTTACTTTTCAGACATGGAGTAAAAACACTGTTTTTACGCCTAGGCGTTTTCACTGTTACTTGACACTTACTTTGACATTTACCACTCTACTCTACTCACTCCGTTCGGCAAAATGAACGTTCAGCTTCGCCACATAAACAATCACTTTTACTCCTAATAACATAATCTACTATTTAGTTAGTTATTGATTATAAACACCTAAAAGTAAATGATTTTAGAAAGACAATTTAATAATCTTTTAAATGCAAAAACAACAAAGGGTGTTCTATTTAAATTTTTTAAGATATTGAACTTTTAACAAACGCCTTAATTTTTTTATCTTTGCAAGTGCAACATACTAATAAAATGTTACCACCTTATAGCTTGTACCTTCTTCTTTGCGGTTCTAGATGTTCTAGTTTTTGTGTAATAAATTTTAAAAGGTGCATGTTTCCGTCAAAAAAATCGTCTTATTTTTAAAACTAAGCAAAATCGACCAATAAAAATTTACCTTAAAAACATTGTTAGCTACATCCAAAAACGCTAAAAAACATATGGTGATTCATTTAAAAAAACACAAGTTTGTATTGCAACTTATTTTTGAGACACGCTGTAAAGTTAAAAATAATTTTAGACGATGGACTAGTATTTATCAATGTCCTATATAATTTTTTTTAATTTTACCATTTAAAGGTCACTATTTAAAATTTTACTCCTAGCAAGAAAGACTTGTTTTACGTTTATTTAATTAACTTAATAAATTATCGCTTTGACATCAATGTTAATTAATATTTTAGTATTGATATAATCATGCAGCTATGCAATCCGCAGTGATGGTAGTTCAAATATTAGTCTGGGGGTTTTAGATGAATCAACCTGTGTTTAATTAATAGCAAAATTTATTAAAAAAATAAGGGATTCACATATTGTTCTTCCAAACTAGCAAAGCACGATGGGCACAATCTTCAGCCTGCGTTCGCGCCGCCGCCAGGACACCTACTTATCCCTCGAAATCGCAGGAATTGATCTGAAATTAATTCACGCCGCCTCCAATGGCACCGATGTGGTCCGAATACCCTCCCAACTAGGAGACGGCCTATGGCACCAAATCGCCATAAGGTAGCCAACCTCCACCTAGATTTTTGAGGTTAAGTTGGCCACATTGTAAAACAACTTTTTGCTCAATGTTGCCAACTTAAATTCAAAATCAGAAATTCAATTGAGGTCATGGTGTGTTTCACTGTTTCAGCATCCGGGATGACAGCGTGGTTGATAGTTACGTGGATTGCGAATGGTCCCGGACTGATATTTTGAGGTCTCACACCCTCGACATCCCCGACGATTCCGACCTGATCATCGGTTATCTGTTTACGGTAATTAACGTTATCTCTAGGGCTTAACGCAATATCCCTTTGAGTTACGACAGTTTAATTGACCCAGGATTATTTCTCGTTGATTTTTTAGGGAGATTTGGAGCAACTTTCGATAGTTCCTGATCCGAGATTAGTCAGTTTGCAATGTTCCTCTCTCCGAACACCAATTATTGATCCAAGTGTCAAAGATGTTGAAGAATCAAAACCACAAAAAAGCATAAAACCATCAAAGAAACATTTCAAGCAAACAAGAACAAAGAGTGATAACTAATCAAAAAAAATTAAACTGTAAACAATTATTTAATTATTAGTACAATCATTACATATTTGTATAATTAAATGTTTCAATGTTTTAATTAATTTATTAAACAATTGTTGTACCTGCATGACAATAGGCACTTGTTACTAAAACACCTTACGTGTAGTTAAGTTGGTAGACATGGACAATAAAACTGTGTGTGTCAACGAAAGAATTTATTTCTTGTTATTTGCTTTGACGTTGTAGTCGAAATTTAACTGTTTTTAAATAAATATTTGACTGAAATGGAATTGTGTTAATTCGTCCGATCGTAACGTTTGAGTTTTAATTAAATGTGGAACGTGTCATTTGGGAAGCTTTTAACAAATTTCAATTAAATAACGTGGAAAGAAATTTGTTTTATCTGATGCGAAATCGATATCGGGGGAATTTTTGTGGCTGACAGCTTAATTTATTTTATTTACGAAGAGAACGGAGACGACGATTTTTTGTCCATGAAACTGAAAGTTTAGATCACATTATTGAGACGTCTCTAAGGAAAGTGAAGAATTGATCTGAACGTTGATAATTTTATGAAAATTCCGAATATTTTGCCCAAATTAGGTAAGCATACAAAAATTCGAATTTAAAAAAAATTGAAAAAATGACAGGAAATTTTACAATAGTATATCAAAAAACGCGTTCCATAAGGCAAGTTTTGTGGAACGAGTTCAGGTTTATGAAAGTGAAAAAAAGTGCGAGTTTTGTAAAGAACAAATGACCTATAAAACAAGTTTTTTGCAAGTCAATTTTTCAAAATTTAGAAACTTTTGTTCTAATAAAGTTATGGTTGGTAATAAATGTCACAAAGTTTAAAAGAACGATTTTCGAATTATCAAGTCTTAAGTATTTTTCAAAATTTTGTTGAATTAACAATAAATACTGTAAATGCACAACACCTGAAAAAAGAAAAATCGCTTAAAACGTCGTCAAAAATCACCATTACCAACCTCTAGAAAATAAATTGTACTAGTCTACTTCAGCACCCGAATCGGTGTTGAAATGGCTCATTAAAGCATTGGTTTTGGTATCGAAATAAGCTTTCTTTCAAACGCAAAATAGAAAACTGAAAATTTGGTTGATTAAACATATAAAACATAAAAAATTGTTAAATTTGAATTAACAGTAAAGATTTTTGTAAAGACTCAAAAAAACCGTAGATATAAACTTTTCCAGATCTTGCTTATAAGATATTCTTAAAGAACTTAGTTATTAATGAAAAATTAGTTAAATGAAAAAGTTGAAAAACGCCGATAAAATAAAATAGAAGATTTAAAAAAAAAATGTTATCGGTCAAATTAACAAAAGTTTTAAGTCCAAAAATCTTAATAAAAAATTAAGCTTTCTTGAAAAATATAGATTCTACGAAATGCTTTGATTTTGAAATGACAATAAAGACTTTAAATGCAGAAGAAAAGATTATAAAAAATACTCGCAGTTTTGATAACAATCAAAAAACCTATCTTAAATATTCAGAAATTAAAAAAAAATAATGGTTGACAATGATTTTATTAACATTAAAATCTTGTTTTTTTACTTTTACGCTAATCGGAAAATTTAAATCAAATTTTAAAATAATAACAGCAGGTTAAAATTCCTGTTAAATTAAAATTCCTGAAAAATTTTGGATGTTGGAAAAGGATTTAAAAAATGAAGATTTTATAAATATCTGGTTTAGATATATTTTTAGATAAAATACGCTTTTCAGAAAGGACAAAGAAGTGGTCTTTGTAACAAGTAAATTCTTGTGTTCTTCAAATCACACTGACATTTTTGATCAATTCAACGAAAGCAAAATCTCTCAACAAAACCCACAAAATTTTCATATATTTAATGTATCAAACAAACCCTACTAGATTTTTAATTAAATCTTGCTTACTCTCTCATTTTAATTTTAACATCGAACCTCTCCTACTTTGTGTATTATCAAAGGATCAAAACGAAACTTTATACAGCTTCATTAATATGTTAATATTTTGCTTTGGAGATTGCTTTTTATTTAACTAACGACCAGTATTTTTCCTGTTTTATGCAAAACACAAACATAATTTTTTTTTAAATATTAATTACACGATTTAACACGCTTCGGTAATAATTCTGGCAATAAATTAATATATTTATTAATAGGCGGTAATTTATTGTGACATGTATCCAGTAACCAATCGATAAATATCGCAATTAAATTCTGCCACGACTCACAAATTAATCCCATTTCGACTTTGGTAAGCAGTTCAAATTCCAATTAAACACATACAGGTGCGCCAGAACTCGCGCCCCATAGAAAAATGCCATATAAGGTGAGATGAAGTTATGAGGGTTTAAAGTTTGCATTTTGACTCTATTTATTTATGTTGTAAAAATAATTTTCCAAGTTTTTTTGCTATAGGCAATTAAAAGAGGAAACAAGAAAGCTGTATCCTAAATTGTAACTCTGTTCAATGTTATTTGTGGCTTTTATTGGCAAAATGTTTGTCCCTTTTCTAAATAATTGTAAAAAAACATATACAAGATCATCAGTATCATTAAATAGATATAAAAAATGTCAAATGTCAAAAAATAAATGTCAAAATTTTTTGACAGATAGAATTTTTTAAACATTTTTTTCATGTTCCTGGTATCTTATCTTACTTGAAAATTTTCTCTGGGGCGCGAGTTCTGGAGCACCCTGTATAAATATATCGGAATAAAATTTCAAGTCCTGAGTCTTGTTCCTGCAACAAAAGCAACAACGCTATTGTTTTCAAAAATATTTATTACATCTTTGGAAAAGTACAAAATTAAATATTTCACTTATCCTAACTTATGTACAAGCCTAAAATCGTAATTGAAACATAATTAGTAGCCCTGATTAAAGTTACGATTAGTAATGCTATATGAATACAGTCAACTTATCTACTCTCTGCAGAAGTGCTTGGTTGGACTAATCCAACTGTCTTAATTCTAAAATTTAATCACAAATGACTGGAAAATCACATTCAGGAACAAATCGACACGAGAATCCGTGTCTCACAACTCCGATTATGAAAAACACCGCCTGAAATGTTTTTTTTTTCAGTGGTTGCCTTGGAGATGCGACCGTCATTTTCGTCTGCGGTTCTTAATTTCCTCATTTCGAATAATCCGGTTATAAGCGCTACATCCACCATATTACAGGCTCGGCTTTATTCGACTTTGAATAAATTAACGGCAAAATGCTATGTGGTTAAGGGCAGATTAGGCCAAGGATAAGTATTCTACGAAATTCGTCAAAAAATTAAATTTTCGCGACAAAAATTTAACAATTAACGGATAACTCAGATAGCCTTGCATTTTTTGTCCCAATGAAGTAATTAAATCGTCTTCGAGTTTCATAGTAAAAAATAAATATTTACAAAATTGTCAAATTGTCAAACAGACTACAACAGATATCACACGTATTAAAATAAATTATACATAACATACACTAAAATTAACAAATAGAAAACAGTTTTATATACTTTATATACATTAAATTAACGAGAATATACAATAATATAATTATTTCTGTACACCTGTACATGGGATTATTTTTGTCTCAAGTGACATGTTTCAATATCCAAGGGACGAATTTGGAAATCCGGGTGCAAACTCCGGGTAGGTTGGCTTCCGCACATCCGATTCCCCAAGAGATGATTCCTGCGAGGAAGTAGTGGCCGTCTTTGCCCTTAACTTGTAAAGGTCCTCCGGAATCTCCTTGACATGAATCCCGGCCGCCATTTTCGTGCCCGGCACAGAGGAAGATGTCCGGGATAAACTCGTGTCTTCCGGCACGGAGGAACATGCTTTTGCATCGGTCGTTGCTCACGATGGGGACCTGAACCTGGGAATTTTATTTTGTCAAGTTGAAAATAGTCATAGCTCTTTTGAGTCTCCATAAAAAAACGACGAAAATTCGCAAAAAGTTGAAGATTGCAAACTAAAACTTTTTTGATTTCCTTATTGAAAGCTTAAAATATTCAGTACCTATCTTTAGAAATATAATGTTAAATCTTGAATAATTGTATGATTTTAAGGTAACATAAAGACTCAGAGAGAGAATTTAGAGTTTTGGAAGGAAAAAATTGAAATAGTGTTAAAAATTATGAGAAACAGTCAAAATTTTATTAAAAATTCAAGATCCTGATAGAAAGTCTAGCCTTTGATATAGGAAAGTAAAATGTTTAAGATTTTCAATACTTCATTTGTATGAGTTTATGAACAATATTAGAAGTTTAAATACTTTATAGAAAAGTCAAATAAAAAGGCAAAAATCAATTTAAAATTAACATTTACAACAAAATATTTATCAAAACTCTTAAAACATTTATACACTTTGAGTAGTTAATTTGTCCATTAGTTTGTGATAACTAAAAAAGGTCGAAATATACGAAAAACAATAAGAAAGCTTATGGTAAAATTATCGTTTAAATGCGAGATTCTTATAATTATAAAAATCGAAATATTTTAAAATACGTAAAACAGGAGGAATAAAAATCTTAAAATATGAAATCAAAAGAAGCAAAATTAAATTACAAAAGATTTTGATTAAAGTGAATTATGGAAAATGATAAAAAAAAAGTAAGAATTCAAACTAAAATTTTAGTTAAAATAAAATTCTTGCAAAAAAAGTTATTTATTATACAAGACGATAAAGAAATTGTTAATCCACGAGCCAAAAAATTAAGTTTACGAGTGACGAAGTCACGAGTGGATTTCTTTCACGAGTAGATAAAAACAATCTTTATCGTCGTGTATAATATTTCGTTTTATTTTGTACTCACCTACCAGAATTTCTTTAATATAAACAGTAGATAAAAATTACTTTATTTCACGAGACGATAAAAGACTATTTTATCTACTGAAATTAGTTGATAAAATACAAACAGTAGATAAAATTACTTTATTTCACTAGACGACAAAAGATTACTTCATCTACTGAAATTAGTTGATAAAAACACTCTTTAACATCGAGTACAAAATAAAAGAAATTTTCAGATAGAATAAAAGTTAGAAAGTAACAAAATCTAACAAAAAGTATTATGTACATTATTTTTTAAGAGAAAAATTCTGAGTAAAAACATAAAATTTTCAAAATTAAATTAAACTCTCCGCAAAATTCCAAATCCTTGTAAAAAATTCATAATTTTAAGATGAGTGAAGTAAATCTTAAAAATTCTGAGTTCTAGAAATGTAGAAATTTAAAAGAAATACAAAAAAAATTGAGAATAAAAATAATGAGATAATGACAACCTAAAAACTAAAAGTTAAAATTTAGAAGGATTTGAAAGTAAGTGAAGAGTCAGAAAGATAAGAATTCTGAAAATTTATGTATGAACAAAAATCAATCTAGTTAAAAGAAAATGAAGGTAAAAAAAGATTTAAAACAATATGCGATAATAATTAAAAATATGAAAAAAAACTCAAAAAGCACTTTCTTTACTATCGTTTACTTTGTTTATACAGGGTGTTTCACACAACTTTACGAGGCTTGCGCCTAATGTACGCACCCAAATATACAAAAGCCACAAAACACTGGATACAAAAAATACACTTCTAACTATTTAATTTTTGGAAACCCATGACAGTAGTTGTCAAACTAATCACTCTTTCATTAATAGTCATAAACTGCAGTTTTTCAGAAACAATTATCAGTTGTTCTATCAAGAGACGGCATGAATGTGATTCTAGTTTATCTATCGGAATATGTATTATTAATTGCATCTTACAGGTGCAGGCCTCGTAAAATTACGTGAAAAACCCGGAATTTTGTTTAAAACTCTTAATTTAATTTCAAGAATATGACAGTTTTCAAAAAAAATGAAAGATTTTGTCAGAAAAGAGGATACAAAAAAAATCAAATTTCGTATTTTCCCACTTTTTTTCCATTACAATTCCAACAAACTTTGATACTTTAAATAATCTCAGTCCAGACACACACGTCCAAACCTTAATTTTTAATTAAGGTTTGTAATATTTAATCTGTGCAAGAAGAAGAATTTAAACTATATGTTAACACATCATATTTAAAATTTAAAAATTCGACCCGCGTTTGGAATTTCCTGATTAAATTACATTTACGGCAATGGAATTCTATAATGAGTCAATCGTGGTTCGAATGCACTCCTGTTTTACCCCACAAAACTCAATTTTCCCCATTATCGCCCCTCCAACATGACTTTAATCAAAAACAAAATAAATACATAAAGCATTTGGCGAATTTTCCTGGAGCGATAATTCACACATTTCCTCCAAAATCCTTAATGATCATAAAATCGTGAAACTTTTCTCGATCGGTATAAAAAAACTTTTCCAGTACAAGTGTGGACACTACCGTTCTCAAGAGGGAGTCGACGTAATGGATTTTTCCAAAGCTTTTCTCGAAACAGCATGATTAAAATTTCCAATTGATTTCTACCAGCCTGTTGTAGTTGTACAAAGTTTGGAGCTTTATTACGTTGAGTTATTTCACGCGGCAAGTTTTCATGAAAGTTTACCTTAAATTGCTTTGATTTCAAACAACAAAGTTTATGTGTGATTGGGTTAAAAGCAGTGGCGGCTCGTCGCCTTTCCAGTGAAAATAGAAGTTAAAAATAAAATAAATTACTAGAAATTTAAATTATTTTGACTATTTTTGAATCGTAAATTACAATTTTTATATAATTTTAACCTTAATATTTTTTATTTGTTCAAATGTTGTTTTTTTTTTTGCTATAAATTTTGCTATAAATGAGGGAGGTAATTGACCACTTTCTTTTCTAAAATTAGAGTGACAAAACTTACTTTTTCTTAGGCCATAGGAAAATTAATGATTAATATAGTTTTGTAAATTCCTAGTACATTAAATATGAGTGGTTAACTGGAAGCAAAACACAAAAAAATATTTTTTTGGCCATTTTGAAGTCGTGGTGAGGAAGCATGGTCTAAAACTGTGGTATGACAACTTAAAAAAAAATACCAAGCGCAATAGAAAGACACAAGAACATATGTATGAGTAGCAAATTACATCTCCAGGGTAAATAAAATATAGCCACAAACGTAGATTCGGCTCCGCAAATTGAAATTAATAAATTTAATAAATCGTTCAAAAAAATTGAAAAATTTTAAAAAGGTTAATCGATTTTTGTATTTTTCTTTGCTGTTAAAAGTTAGCTCTTTTCGTGTTCAGCAAAGCGAAGAATCATTTTTAAATCGTCAAGCATATGGCATGTGTATCAATTTTTTGATACAGAATGTTCCAAAGAAAACGAGCCACCCCACATATCTCAGAAACTAAAAAGACTGCAAAAACGCCGAAACAGGTCAATTTTGTTTCCGAGAGGGACATTTTTTAACGTAATTTTTATAGAACCCTCAGTAACCCCCACATATCGCCACTTTATATATTTAAGTAGCATTACCCTACTTGTGGAATATCAAATGAAAGCTATTTTAACAAGATTTTTAAAACTTTTTACCAAAATTAAATCAGATCATCCATTCATGAGTTACAGGTGGTTCTAATAAAAACAAACCAGAAAGAATTTGCCAAAAAAAACGAAACAGCTTAATTTTGCTTTTAAAAGGGACATTTTTACGCAAAGCACCTTCACTAACCCTTTAAAATGCTCTTTAAAAGCATGGTTGGGGGTTGGGGGTGCTTTAAAAATTACGTTAAAAAATGTCCCCCTCGGAAACAAAATTAACCTGTTTCGGCGTTTTTGCAAAGTCTTTTTAGTTTCTGAGATACTTGGCTCGTTTTCATTGGAACACTGTATAAAAAATAGTATATTACATAACGAGCACGGAAAGTGATAAATAACGCACAAGCGCGAGTGCGTTAGACACTTTCCTGCAAGTTTTGTACAGTATTTTTCCTACGATCATAAATAATTTTTTTTTTACGAACATATTTTTTTTCATAACGATTTATTTTTTATAATGGATACAAAAAAATACGTTAAATGAAAAAATACAAAACATTCGAGTGTGAATTGTGCGTTAGATTTCTAACACACAATGCGAAAACAAATCGCACATATTTTCGACCTCGTACGATATTGCCAATTTTCGCGCATATGTAATTGTGCGTTATGATCTAGTTTCGTATATGGTCGTAGGAAAAATTGATATACGTGTATCTACATATGCCATATACTTTAATAAACTGTGAATAGAATTTTAGTTTTCAAGGTTAGTATTGAGTTTCTCACCTCTTGTAAAACGGAGGGTAGGGTGCCGCCCTCGCTGAGCCGCCCCCAGCCGGTGACGGTGGCGTTCTCCCCGATGAGCAGATCATCAGAGGCAGGCAGACAAATAGGAGATATATGCGGAGCAAATTCCAACGCTTTATCAAGTTGCACTAGAGCCAAGTCGTATTCGTATGTAAAAAAGTTGTATTTGGGATGAACAACTTTCCGAGCGACGGCCCTTTCGACATAGGGAAATTCCTCTTGGACGCTTGAAAAATCGTACTCCCCGACTCGAATTCGGATCTGGGATGTGAGCAAACTGAAAGCGGAATTTTCTCCAATCAAATGTAAATATTTCCAATGGCGCGACGAGGATTAATTAAATTGAGGTGGAGACGCCTAAATGCACCAGGTTTTGGTATAAATCGGGAAAAATGAAAAGACTCAAAGCTTCGTAATGATATATCACGACTACATGACGGAAAATCTTAAACTGGATGCTTGAAATTGTTCAATTTAAATCGGATAGGTGGGTATGTGAAATAGCTTTTTTAGGAAAATCCTCTTACACCAGAAAAAAGACTCTTGTTGTTGTCAGACTTTCTGCTTTTCATTCCGGCTTCCGGAAAGAAATAAGAGTAAAATAAAGTTTTTCTCTTTTACGATAGATATGAATTTGTTTTGCAATGTTGGTACGCGAGTGAATCACCGATATGTCAAATACCTAATCCAAGTTTTTAAGTCAATTTCATTTTGTAAAACATCTCTTAAAACATCTCTTGAGAATAAAATAAACGCAAAGAATTTCTAGGGAAGATATTCCAAATATAAAATTTTAGGAAAAGAGTTTTTGGAGGTACAAGTAAATAAACTAAAACCTCCAAATGCACTTTTTGCTTAAAAAGACAGACAAATTTGGAAAAATCCTAGAGCTTAGATAACCTAATAACCACATTTCTCCGTTTTTGTGTATGCATCAGCATCCTAAGTTTAATTAAAACATTTGCTTTTAACTGAAATTAAGTTTACAGCCGGGACAAAGTTAAGCGACAAATTAACTTAACATTCACTTACGATAAACCGTTTTATAAGTGCTTTGCAGAAACTGGTTTGTCAGCAGTAATTTTTCCTTAATTTTTGTTTGTTCGTCGGTTTTCTGTTTATAAATGCTCATTAGCAAAGTCGAAAGAAGGGTAACCTTAAAGCAACAGCTTTCAACTTAAGCGATAATACAGGGTGTTCGTTTTTCAAGTTTCACCATGGGGATCTCAGTTATTATAAGAGATACGAGGTCGGGCAAAGTTGCGCATTTTTATGCTGAACAATAATCTGAAAGAAAATTTAATGTGTCATTTTTAGTTTTTGAATTATTGGAAAAAAAAACGGAAATTTGTAATTTTCGTTTTTAATTTTTTTAAGCGAAAACTAAAAAACTTAGATGTTTTTAACTAGGACGTTCTTAAAGCACTTTTTTACAAGGAATCTAAATCTGTCATGGTATTTTCCAAGGCCTTTTTGTGATACTTGATATGGACGCCATATTTGATTTCTGTATTTTTGAAAAGATATGATCAAATTTTACATGCTGATCAAAATTAGGAAAAAGCGTTTTTGAAGAGTGTTTTGGAAAAAAACACCAACAATTTAATTAATAAACTAGATTTTGACAGTTCAGTTGAACTTAGATCTGAAAGTCACATTTCTGTCAAGCTTACCTACTTAAAAACTAAGGTTTTGAAATAGGAACAATATGATAAACTAGAATTTATTCTTCGCAAAACAAAACAACACAAAGTTATAAAAGATGCACAAATGCACCATCTTCAAAATTTAGTTTGTTAATAACAATTGGTGGCATTTTTTTCAAAGCACTCCTCGCAAAAACGCTTATTTTTAATTTTGATCCGCATGTAAAATTTGATCATATCGTGTGATACATCGTTGTAATCAAAAACAAAAAGTCTTTTCAAAAATACAGAAATCAAATATGGCGTCCATAAGAAAATCCAAAGTTGAGTGTTGTAACGCTGATATCAAGAGCGCCTTGGAAAATACAACGACAGATTTAAATTCCTTGTAAAAAAGTGCCTAAAGAACGTCCTAGTTAAAAACGTCTAGGTCTTTTAGTTTTCGCTTGAAAAAATAAACACGAAAATTACAAATTTCCGTTTTTTCCAATAATTCATAAAATAAAAATGACACATTAAATTTTCTTTCAGATTATTGTTCAGCATAGGGCAACTTTGCCCTAATTTAACCAACCTCGTATCTCTTATAATAACTGAGATCTCCATGGTGGAGCTCAAAAAAAAAACGAACACCCTGTATAATTGGGTAAGTAATAAAGCGACCGGTAAATAATTTATTTCTGATCAGTATAAAATGACAAATGATCAGTATTTAATAAATGTTTTCGCAATATTAAATTAAAAATGATCAGTAAAACATAAAATTTTGCACAGTAATAATAAATGCTAAGTAAAGCACGCACAGTATTTTATTGTAATTTGTTCAGTAAAAAATCCAATTTGCACAGTAAAAATAAAAAACGCTCAGTAACTTTAATCAAAATTAGTAAAACAACATAGAATTTAAAGAATTTTGGTCTTGGTTACATAACAATGTATGGCCCCTGCGCAAGTATGTTATTCATTATTGGTACTTATTTTTATATTACTGAATATTTATTATTATTGAAGGGTGGTGTATGTATTATGTATTGCCCCTGCGCAAGAATGATTTTAGCAAGGGCTGGAAACTGTGCACAAATGGTAATCAGTCTTATCCACTGATACCACAATTTTGCTTTTGAACGTTTTGCGATATTCAGATTTTGCTCGGAAACATTTTGTTTGTAAATGTGTGATTATTAAATTAATTAGTTTTGCTAGACATTCATTTATTGTCTTTTCTGTGCATTTTTTTTATTCCCAATATAAATCAACGCAACCCCAAGTTAATCAAATTCAGTTTAATTTAAACTTACTCATCGACGCAGTGTCCAGCTGTCGCAATCCAATTCTCGTTAAGAATCGCTCCTCCGCACCTATGAGTACTCGAAAATCCAAAAAACGACGTCCTCCGGACTGAAACCTGCGAAAAAATGACGAAGACACCAAATTTAATTAATTTTAATCCGGGCGAAAGCTCAGGCAAAAATATTCCCCCTCCGGTCATAAATAACCGATTTGCAAGAAAATCTCACCGTTTCTTGGCACAGGAACACTCACTCCCACCGTAAATAAAAATAATCTAAAGAAGCGCAAAAATGTATACAACGTTAAAGCCAGATAAATGTGAGTTAGTATCGGAAGACGGAAAGAAGCTTAAACAACATCCGTAATTTCTTATCTCACCTGCCAGGGCCAACGGCCGAAAGGAGCGTTCTTACCGCCGACGATCTTCGACTGTGGTTGGGTCGACATCTTGGGCACACCGCATTCTGCAAATTATTTAGAAAATTTCAAAAAAGAAACTGCAGACGATACACTTTTTAAATTTGGCGCCGTTGCTTTGGCTCTGTAGCGCCACCGGCAACTCGAAAAGTTTTATTTCTGAAATTTCTATGGGGACTCTAACAGTGTTTTTTTGCCTTTTGTGTTTATTATTATTTCTTTGTTATTTATGCAGAGGTCATTAACTTGAACTGAAATTTATCTCATTTATTTTGAACAGCTTTAAATAGAGATAAGTAAAACTAGTATCAAAGTTTTATTACTTTTTGGTCGCATTTTTAATTTTCTGATGCAGCAAAAATTTATTTTCGTTTTAACAATTAAATTTTAAGAAAATTTCTCATCTCAATTGATTCAACTTTTCCATTATCAGCCAATTTCCTTTTCGTAATCCAACTTTTCGTTGTCATTTAAATCCAATACGAATTTTTTCTTGACACATAGCTCGTTACTCCCTTAACGAGTACACAAGAATGACATTCTCAAACGCACCCCAGGTGATAAAACGTGATATTTTCACGACCTTCACCCCGTCATAATCATCTGAAGTAACAACAAAGAATTTGGTTCTTTGTTGCTAGGATTAAAAGAAAGAGAGTAATTGCAAAAGTATTGGATTGCTTTAATTGGTTCATTCCGTGTTCAGCAGACTTTTAATCCAAGATTTGAACAATTGGAAACGAGATAATAGAGAGATTTGTTAAAAATTGTAACCCGGCGCATCCACCATTTTTAAAGCACAGAAAATTATTTAAATCAAATTTTTTTAACCAAATTTGAAAACGTTAAACAACAACAAAAAAATATTTGATAATTGACAAAATTTGTTTGGAAAAAGTTGCAAACCCGGCGCATCCACCATTTTTGATTACACCAAAATTTTACACTTGTGGAAATAATATCTTCAAAGCTTTAAAATCAATTTTACTTCCTTGCCGCCGCTCTTTATTAAATATTTATGCAGAGTCGTGTAGACATAAATTCTCTCATGTGTTGTATTTACCAGCGTCCTAATTTTATTTCCTTTATTATTGTCGACTTTCTCAAACATAAATCATCCCTATAAAGCGTAAAAGTCCCTCCCTTTCACATTTACACTCCTACCCTCGATAATAATGAATAAATCTGTTGGCGATAATGAATTTTTTCTCTTACCGACTCGAGCCGAAATCGGAGATGATACAACACTTCCAATCGTCGACGTTTGCATCAAATCAGGAGCCGTTGAAACTTTTTGCACTGGGGCTTCAGTGTTGACGACAGGACTCGCTGAAGTTGGCGGCCTGTAATCAATATAATCCTGTTAACTGTCGAAAACAGAAGTAGAAAAGAACGAGTCTAATTTATTCCCCATGCTATTGCATGGTGTTTTTGAGACGTTTCAAGAGGATTTGAGTGATCTCGCGGGGATTTTGAGCAAGATTGTAAAGGGATTTGGTTATAAAAAGGGGAAAGAATAATTATTGGCGACTTTTTTCGTGATATGATTGGAAAAGTTAATTAGAAAGTTTCAGTGGTTGGGGGTTAGCACATTTTCGGTGTGATTCGAGTTTAATTAACTTCAAATCAGGAAAAATCTGCGGCTTTGTGGCCTTTATCTCTTCTGCGTAACTTCGTTGTAAATGGAGTCCTACAATAAAGTAATTTAGATCAATTGACAAAAATTTGGAGGCAAAAAGAAACTAGTTGGACTATGGATGATGACTTAACGATTTTTTTATTTATCTGTATGACACATAACTACCGAAATAAGTCTATGAACATGCGCATTGATCTTGCTAAAGACCGAAAGGACTGTCAGTTGTCAATTTTAAGCACGGACAATAATATACCGGGACATTCAATTCCCTACAACCCTGAAAAAATATTACAGATATTTCATCTGAAAGTATTCTTAAATGAGTTATGTAAAATTTAAAGCCAAGTTTAACATTTGCGAATAATTCTCTTTAATTAAAAAGATCGAAAAACGTTAGATTTACAACAAATGCAATCAAGGGGTTGTAGAGAATAAAATTTTTCTTGAAGAGAATGTTCAAGAGATTTTTATCTCCAACCATTTTTGAACGATGAAATAGGCTAAATGGCTAAATAGTTTAATGTCTGGCATTAAAAAAACTACACTAGTTAGCTTTAAAAAATAAATATTTTGGAGTTCTGTTATGTAAAATGTATCTAAAATTCCATTTAATTGAGGAAACTATTTAAAAATGTTGAGGGACGTTAGTTAATTCACCACTTATTGATTTAGCATTACTTTAAAATTTCCTGAATTCAGTTTAAGAGCATTTATAAAATTCTGATACTTAGATAAAAAAATAACATTTTTTTCATGTTCCTGGTATCTTATTTTACTTGGCATTTTTCTTTTTATTGTGTTTTTATAAAACACCTTGTATCTGCAAGTTATGAAAAAAATATGCGTTGATATGAATAGACGATAATAAACGAGAGAACTATTTCAAAAAGTGAAATTAATTTTACTGTGATAGTAGTTAGATAGTTTTCGACATGTACCAGTTTAAATATTGTTGTGTATTTCAAAATCATTCATATATCATTAATACCAATTGGTAATGTTTTGTTATATTTATTTTTTGTTATATTTTTCATATCTTAGTTGACAAATTCTGCAATATTACTCTTTATTTTACAAAATCTGTTGATTAATAAATAAATTATATATTAAAGTAAACAATTAATAGAAAATGCATTGTGAAGATAAACTATTGACTTGAAAATAATAACAAATAATAACAAATTTTTGCAATAAATTGTTGATTTTTAAAATTTAGAATATTGTGGGGGGCTTAATACGTTTCTTCTGATAACAGGGCGTGGTAGCATAAACACAATTTCATTGAACATTTTTCTAGTTTTAGACAAAAGCTCGTAAAGCCTCTTAGTTATAATATTTCTGTTTTCACATTAAAATAATTTAAATTTACACTTTTTGTTAATGCGCATTTTTAGTGCCCAGTTTTAGCAAGCTTTCATCCAAGAAATTAGAACAGGCTCTATTTTCTTGCATCCAAGCTAACTAAAATTGCGCACGCAATTTCAATACTAAATTCAGTACTGAAATTAGTCTCGTGTCAGACAGCTCTAAGTTTTAAAAGCAATAAAATAAAAAAATGGCTTTATTTATATAACGGTGAGTAAAACGCAAATAAAAAAATTTAGACAGATAGAGCATTAAATTCTCAATAATGAGATGAAGGTAATGCAAATATTTTATTGAAAACTATATTTAAAAAAATTTCAAACATTTAGCAATTTGTGCCCCGTCTCATATTTTTGAAAATGCTGCGCATACGGTTAAAGGTACAAAAAACATATAAAAAAGAAAGATGTAGAGAATAAAATTTTCAAGAAAAAAGTCTGCTTGAGATACCTCTATCTTCAATGGTTTAGGTCCTAAAGACGTTCAAGTGACGAATACGTGTCATTTTTACCGATGGTCAAGAGAAAAAAATAATTTAAACCAAAACGGTTGAAGATAGAGATAAGGTCTCGTGGATTTTTTTGTAGGAAATTTAATTCTCTACAACTTTGTTCCCTACACTTTTTTTGTATCTTCAACCGTATTCGCAGCGTTCTCAAAAATATCAAAAACAGTATTAGAAATAAATTATAAACAATTATAAACGAAGTTTGCGTTCCGCCCCCTATTTTTGAGAACGCTGCAAATAGTGTTAAAGATACAAAAAAAGTGTAAGAAAGAAAATTGCAGAAAATAAAATTTGCTACAAAAAAATCCGGGAGATCATATTTCTCTCTTCAACGCAGTGGCGTAGTGAGGGTGGTTCCGCGGGTTCCGCGGAAGCAGGTCCGGGGCTCGAAGGGCCCGATCAAAATTCTTACTTATTAACATTATTGTAAAAATAAAATAAAAAAGTTTTACAACAAAATTGGCCTACTATGTATTTAAAATTAACGATGTTTATTTTAAATACAAAACAAAACTGCTACTTACAATAATTACGAGTTGGTTACAAGAAATGGCTCTTATTTTCTAAACACTAGCGCGTTTGGGTTTAGAATCATTACTTTTTCTCCTGGAGACATTTCTAAGAAAAGTATAAAAAATAAAAATAAATGTGAAACACTTTATTGCTTCTTTTACGTATTTTCGACCTTCTTTTCTTCAGTCGTTATGCAGAGATTGACACCGAGCAGTGTTCAATTTTTGTGTATTTATTATTTTCCGATTTATTTATTAAAACTTGGGCTAATAATTTTTAATTTTAAAATAGCTTCAAAAGTCGATGACTTGGACACTGAATCAAGCACAAATTCTTCAAATTTGAATTTTTGTAAGTTATCATTAAATTTGGTATTTAAATTTTAATTTAATTTACTATTTTATATTTTAATTTTACTATCTACTTGGCTATCATTTCTATAGAAAATAAAACTGCGCAAGATTTAGATCTATCCAGTTTTATAAACACTTTTGCCAATGCTAAAGCGYGAAAGAAAATTTTGTATTATAATATAGTTATTACTTTCTGTTCTGTAGTATTATACAGGGCGCGCCAGAACTCGAGCCCCACAGAAAATTTTCAAGTAAGGTAAGATACCAGGAACATGAAAAAAATGTTTAAAAAATTCGATCTGTCAAAAATGTTTGCCATCTATTTTTTGACATTTGACATTTTTTGTGTRTATTTAATGATACTGATGATCTTGTATATGTTTATTTATAATTATTTAGTAAAAGTACAAAAAAAAATATTTTAACATTTTTTCCATGTTCCTGGTATCTTACCTTACTTGAAAATTTTCTCATTTTTCTCTGGGGCGCGAGTTCTGTCGCATCCTGTATATCGAGCGATCAAGATAATTTGTAATCAAGTCATCGCTGCATCTGAGAACGTATTTTGAACTGTTTTTGAACTAACATCACGAGAAACGTCAAATAAAATGACCAGTCGTAAGGTAAAACGGTAAAATGGGCTGCAATTAGTCGCCGACGTATAATAATACYAGTAGGACCGTTCCATTTTGAAGGTAAATTATAAATTTAGTTATTATAATCATCACCTTTTTGATCATGCCATTTTACCTTTCGACTTGCCATTTTACTTGACATTTTACAGACATACGTTTTCGGATCCAAAGACGACTAGATTACAAATTATCTTGATCGTTCGATGTAAGAAAGTTATTATTTTCTGTTCTTGGATAATTAATAATATTAGTTTATATACCTATGCATTTTATTTCTGCATATAATCCTAAAGGATAAGAAGGCCCCCCCCGCCTATGTTTGAACCCAGGCCCGTGAATGTCTCACTACGCCACTGCTTCAACGGTTTAGGTTTAAATTGCTTTAAAGTGTTACTCTGGCACTGAATCATCAGTAAAAATGAAACGAATCCGTCGCTTGAGCGGTTTTGAACGTCTTTGAGGCCTAAACCAGTATATATTTACTAGAAAATTTTAGTCTCTACAACTACAACCGTATTCGCAGCATTTTCAAAAACATGAAACGGAGCATAATTTTAAAAGTTTTTTTCTCATATTTCTTGTGAAAAATTTAGTCGTTCATTTTCACAGCTTATTAAGAATGTAAAGCTCAACATTTTTGCATTTTTTCCTAGCAATTAGTAAAGTGATTGAATTTAAATTAATTTAAAACGATTTGAAAGTGAGACGGTAAAACGCTCTAAGCGCCCTCATTTTTACTCCGCCATACTATTTTTTTTGGGTTCAAAAAAGCAATTTGGTATCTTGGTATGTAGTTCTCCGTAGTACACACTCAAAAACATTTTATCACGTAAGCAAGGACCTGTTATCTACTTCATTTCAGGGCATTATTTGAATAAAAAAAATAAACATGAGAAAATAACGTGTTTTATCAAACTACGGCATTAAAAATCGCCACTAACCTTTTTGTGGTAGCTTTCGTGGTCGTTCCCTTACTCCCCACTTTCGTAGTGTTCTGTATCGGCTTCTTCGTTGGCTTCGGCTTCGGCTTATAACTACTAGGTTTCGCTTTAACTCTTGTGACGAAAGCCGGTTCCGTAGTGACCTGCCATTGCGGTTTGGACCCCGACTGGATCGAATTCTGGTTGTGGGACGTGATAAAACCCGGTTCTGTTGTCGATTGCCACCCCGGTTTCGTGTACACCCCTATTGCTATACTATTAGCTCCAGAGAGGGCGTCGGTGTGTCGGGGTGGTTGGGTGGGGTTCCTCGACGATAGATTGGGCCTCACGTTAACAGAGGCCGCTAGGGTGTGAGTTACAGGACGATTTGGCGGTTTTGTTGACTGACTTAGGTGCGAATGACTGAAATTGATTGAACAAATGTGAAAATTGAATAAAAAGAGGGTCAGGTGTTGTGAGAAAAAAAGTCAAGTAGTTGGTGTGAGTACCTTGTCGGCCTGGGCCTACTATGACTAATTGGCTTGTTAGTGGTATGACTATGTTGACTAGGAGGTGTGTAGAGCACGGCCGGTTGGTCGTGTTGGATGGGTACCACGTTGTTGTCGGTAGCGTTGTGTGCACAGCAGGAACCAAACATGAAGGTGTCCACGCACATGCCGATGTGGTACCCCTCTGATTTGATGCACTCGTACACGAACATACACGTGCCTTCTTGGCCGTCGACCCAGCAAGGTTTTGGACTTATCTGATAAGCTACAAAAATTTTTTATTAACACAATAGAAATCTAAGCTGAGACATTGCTTGAAAAGCAAATCCTGTTTGTAAAAAATCATTTTTAATTTTAGTTTAAAGTATAATTAAGTTAAATTACATGTTGTGTACGTTTAAATTAATGGGGGTAATATCGATGCAAATCTCTAATTATCGGTCATTATAATGCGCTTACAGCAGATATATATTCAAAGAAGTTCATCGCTTTCAATAAATAATTTTCAACACTGTCCCTTTCGTAATAAAATATTGTTATTGAAAGAAATGCTTGGAAATCAATTATAAAAGATTAAAACGATGAAGCATCAACTAATCCATTATTTATCATTACACTCGACACCCTATTTTGCTTTAATTTGATGTTCAACAAGTCTTCCTGCAGTTTAACGATTATTGTATCCGGCAATACTACCATTTAATTTTTATTGGAATTTTATGGCTATACGTCTATTTATATACAGATTAGATTGTCTAAAATTGCAAATTATAGCGTGGGAATTCGTGGCGAAATTATTAGAAAAACGTGTGTCAGTGAACTTGGTTATGTCAAGAATTATAATTTCTTAAATTGCCTAAATTTTCCAATAGTAATTTATTGGAGTTTTAAATTATACATAAGTAAAATGCTCCATAGAGTCAATTCCTGTCAAAAAACCGCGAAATTTCGGTAGTAAGCTTCAAGTATGGTGAAATTTTAGTATTTTTTCGATACTTGAATGCAGAAAACCTTAAAATTTTTGGTAGTTTAAAAGTTATCGAAGAATGTATAACATTATATCTACGATTATTTTATAATGAACTTGTTATAAACTTGTGTTACTTCTACTAAATACAGTATATTCTCGGATTGAGTTTACAAGAGGAAACAAAAATATCTTTAATTTTACGCTAAAACTGCAAAAACCGAGCAAAAAAGCAAATCTGTTCTTAAAACTGAGTTGCTTTTTATTAAAATTATGTTTTTCACAAACATTTTGGTTATTTAACTTGCGTAAATTCGTTTGTCAAAGTGACATCATTGTCAAAAAAATAAAACCGCCAATGCGATAGGACTTAAAAAGCAGAGAGAAATGATTGTCCAAAATCAAGAGAAAAATTAACTTTTCTCTCTCTATAATAATGAAGTTTTAATTACAGATTTGCTCGTTTCAGGTAAAGCAAAAAATGTTTTTCCTTTGCAGTTTTGGCGTAAAATCAAAGATAATTTTTTCCTCTTGTAAACTCAATTCGGGGACATACTGTATATTTAGTGATTAGACAAATATACTAGATGAGCTAAAAATAAAGTTTAGTTGAAGAAAAACAAATTTTTTACCCTTTTCCCATTGTTCACTATGACAGTCTATTGTTTGAGTCAGGTTTATTGAGTGTTTTGTATAATACAAATATACAGTGTGTCCCCGGATAGATAAAAACAACTTTTGTAAAAGATAAACACTTTCGATGTAAATCTTCATTATTTGGGATTCATCCCTGCTTGGTTAAAGTCTAATTTCTAATAAAATTTTAGTTTTGAAAAATCAAGTATGCCTTGAAAATTTTCGAAAAACATATCTTTCTACAAAGTAAAGTGCCTTTTGTATGGCAAATACGACAAAAAGTTATTAAGAAAAGTTGTTTAAATCAATATCTACGCCCACATACCAAATTTTAAAATCATCGGCCAACTTTGATTTTTAATTTTTTTTGTTTATTTCGCAATTCAAAGAATTTTATTTGTATCAGTTCTTTTATTACGAACAGAATAAAGAATTTTTGAAAATCTACAGCGCATACTTTTTGAAGACGAAAATTATGTTAAAAATTAATCGTTAACCAAACAGGGTTGAACCCCAAAAATAAAAAAAATAAAAAAATCAAGCCTTTTTTATCTTTTACAAGAGTCTTTTCACCTATTCGGGAACACACTGTAGAATATTTTTAAAAACATCTATTCTCTATAGATGTTAATAATATTATTATTTCAAATGTTGACTGTTAATAATTAACGCTTGCTTTTTCTTAGAAATCGTATGTTACATTTCAACATAGTTTTCCCTATTTTAGAAGTTAATTAGTTCTAAAAATGACGTCTACCATTTCGCTGATTTTGTAAACTCAATCCGGGGACATATTGTATTTCGATATTGATTAATTATCAAACTTTTAAATTAAATTGAATAATAATTAAATAATAATTAATAATCGTGGACAAATTTTGGTATTCTACTCGCATATAATGGCTTTTATTCACTCAGATGATTAAAGAACTCGCATTCAGCTCGCTTTATAAACTATCTTCGTTAATAATATTGAACAACATATTTTTGTTTTTATTATGCCACCGATTTTCTCGATAACTAAATCTTAGTTAAGATTTGAAATGAAAGTATTTTCCAACGTTGCCAAATATAAGAAGTTACGACTAATTATCTCGGAGTTATCGTCGGATATACAGGGTGCGCCAGAACGCGCGCCCCAGAGAAAATTTTCAAGCAAGGTAAGATACCAGGAACATGAAAAAAATGTTTAAAAAATTCTATCTGTCAAAAAATGTTGACATTTATTTTTTGACATTTAACATTTTGTTATGTCTATTTAATGATACTGATGATCTTGTATGTTTTTTTACAATTATTTAGTAAAGGTACAAAAATTTTGCTAATAAAATCCTTGAAAGGGAGTAATTCGGTAGTCTCCAAGAGTACGAGTACTGAAAAAATTTTAAAAAAACTCTAGCTGTCAAAAAATTTTGACATTTTTAATTTAAATTCTTTGACATTTTTGTGTTTATTTAATGATACTAATAATCTTGTATATAATTATTTTCGTAAAGGTACAAAAATTTTGCTCACAAAAGCCACAAATAATACTAAACAAAGTTGCAATTTAGGATACAGCTTCCTTGTTTCCTCTTTTAATAGCCTATAGCAAAAAAACTTGGAAAATTATTTTTCCAACAGAAATAAATGGAGACAAAGTTCAAAATTTAAACCCTCATAACTTCGAAATTTTTATAGATAAAATTTTTTTAACATTTTTTCCATGTTCCTGGTATCTTACCTTATATGGCATTTTTCTCTAGGGCGCGAGTTCTGGCGCACCCTGTATATCCTCTCCGAAAGTAACCAAATGACAAAGTTTTCAAAAACTGTAAAAACATAAAAATTTTTACTATTCTGAAAAATAGTTAGATAACTGAGAAAACTAACTGAAAAAATTTAACGCTATCGTAATCAGCGCGTCAAAATATTTTTTTGGAACCGTAAAGTCTAGAAACTTCAAATAATGAAATGAAAAATGTTTTGTGTTCAAAATACTCGTATGTAGTACTTCTAAGGGGAAAACACCATTCAAAGTTCAAGCTTTTTCTCGCTTGGAAATCTCCTTAACCTTGCAAATAAATCACTCGCGTACAATATTGCTGCACCCATCGAAGAAAGCCTCCTTAAGCCTTTCCACCTGCTGTTAAACTCGAACTAACAGCACCGTCGTGCTCATTGAACTGAATAATCCCAAGTCGATTCCCGCACCAATTTGTACACCTCGACTCCGGCAATTATTTAATCAATTTGTTATTGTCCCGACTGCTCGCTGACTCACTCAGTTCCTTAAATCCGGTCGAAGGAATTTCTTACTTGCCCTAGTTCAAAACCTGACCAAGAAATTTAAAATAATTTGGCGGTTAAATGGCCACATTGAGAAATATTTTTCCGGTCCATTTAACGCACTCTCATATCGAAAAATGATTAAGTTGCAATTCCATTAGGATTCCTGAACATGGCAAGGTGCATACATTTACATAATTATATGGATTATTGCCATATAAACGTGTATCTCTGAGGTATTTATAATATGGAGTCATTAATTTTTTCCAAATGGTTATCTCGGTTATAAATTCTAGACTCAGCTTGAAACCTAATGGAATTATCAATTTCACAATTGAGTCAAAAAAGGTCAAACTCTTCAATTACCCCAAACATAATTACAAAATATCTACAATAAATCACATCTAACAGTCTCTGAACTAGTTGCAAATAATCTCGTCCAGTAATTTCTTAATAACGGCATCATTTCTGAAGACATGGAAGAATTGCTTCAACATTTCTGTGAATCATGTAGGATTACAATATTTCAATATGGAGGTGGTAACTGGATTTATGGTCTTCGATTTATCAAATTTCCTACATTGCTTTAAGGCAAATGGCTTTGATGCTCATGCATGACCTTGTAGATTTGCATTTCAAGTTAGATTAAAAATATTAATTTTTTTACCTTGTCCTCTCCGCGATGAAGCCCCTGGAGCCGCTGACCACACCAATATGGCGCCAAGAATGGCCATCCAGAGCATGCTTGATCCTGAAACGACAAAAATTTACTAAAAAAGTCCGTTTTATAACTGTAGTTTTTAATGTGAAATTAGTGCTTGTCAGCGATAAAATAACCACAAAGTTTTTTTCTGGTTCATTATATTTTTTTTATTTTAGTGGTGGTTCAAAACTTCTTGTGAAAGAAGTAAAAATTTTCAGTTGTGGAGATAGAAAATAAAAAATATTATGATAAATGTGAAAAACAGAATTGGTAATAAAAATAAAAAAATATACTTAACTCTGTAATTTAAAAATGTCCGAATCAGAGAAGAATTAAAATGAGAAAAGAAAAAATTTTAAAAAGTCCACACACTGAACAAAATATTTTTTTTCTAATTTAAATAAATTTAAAATACTTTAACTTTAAAAATTATTACTCAATAACTATTAAGCCGATTTTCTTCAAATAAAGACCATTCTAAAAGGATGACCTTGCCCTTTAGAATGATTTAAAATTTGACATTGAATAATGGCAAACTTTTCTTCGATCAGTGTTCGAAGAAGTTCGAAGTAAATCGAATTAATCTAAGAAAAACTCTACGAGTAATTTTTTTTCATCATTACCATCATGTAGAGCATCTGTTTATTAGTTGTAATCCAAATTTTCAAAAGAATATACCGAGTTGTTTTTAAGATATGATTTTTTGAAGTTAAGGTTTGCTATTCAGTCATTGTGCCATATAGGAGAAATGCATGTTAATCTTACTTAAAATTGCATTTTTATAAAAGTGTTTGTTTTAAGGCTCTTCTTTTGCTTAAAAATGGTCAATTGCACCTTCTTTGTTCTAATTATAATAAACAAAAACTGTTTGTTTACTTAAAACAAATAAAGAGTACCTGCGTACTAATTAAAGCAAATAAAGAGTTTTTTTGTTGTAAAAATGACCACTGATCATTGAGCAAAGAGGATCTAGAAGTTTAAGGCACGAGCCTTAAATATAAGGGCAAATTTTTTTCAAATCAAATCACTTTCCATTCAGATTTTGACTTGTTCACTTTGTTCTATCTTTCTGAACTTTTTTGAAAATGTTCTGAGTAAATACTTTCTCATCACTTTCGACTGATGTTAAATGCAATAAGTCACCTGATTTATTTTGTTGGTACATTCTACGATCAGCTTCACTTAGCTTGTAGGTAGTAGTTGTTGTGATAACAGTTGCACACGAAGCAACTGACTTCAGTCAGTAGAAAGTGATGAAAAAGCATTTGCTGAGAACATTTTCAAAAAAAAAGTTCAGAAAGCTAGAACAAACTGAAAAAGTTGGAATCATTTAATTTGAAAAAGATTTGTTCTTATATTCAAAGCTACTGTTTTAAACTTCTTGATCCTTTTTGCTCAATGATCAGTGATCATTTTTGGAACAAAAAACTCTTTATTTGCTTTAATTAGTACGCAGGTACTCTTTGTTTGTTGTAAGTAAAGAAACAGTTTTTGTTTATTCTAATTAGAACAAAGAAGGTGCAATTGACCATTTTTAAGCAAAAGAAGAGCCTTAAAACAAATACTTTTATAAAAATGCAATTTTAAGTAAGATTAACATGCATTTCTCCTATATGGCGCAATACCTGAATAGCAAACCTTAACTTCAAAAAATCATACCTTGAAAACTACTCGGTATATTATTTAAAAAATTTGGATTCTTATAATAAAAAGATGCTCTACACAATGGTGACGAGAAAAAAAATTACTCGTAGGGATTTTCTTAGATCATTTCGATTTACTTCGAACTTATTCGAACACTGTTCGAAGAAAAGTTTACCAATATTCAATTTCAAATTGCATATCATTCTAAAGGGCAATTCTATCCCATTAGAATGGTCTTTATTTGAAGGCAATCGGCCTAATAATTATTGAGTAATGATTTTTTAAAGTTAAAGGATTTTAAATTCATTTAAATTAGAAAAAAATCATTTTGTTCAAAGTGTGAGTACTTTTTGAAATTTTTTTTAGTTCATTTGATTTGTCTTACTGAGACGAACAAAATAATATAAAATTTGTCAAGTTGTCACGACATGACTTTTTTTGTCGCCTTGTGTTAGAAGAAGAAACTAGGAAACTGTATCCTAAATTGTAACTATGTTTAACGTTATTTTGTGGAAAAATTTTTGTACCTTTACTGAATCATTAAGAAAAATGTCAAATTTCAAAAAATAAATGTCAAGTTTTTTGACAGATAGAATTTTTTAAACATTTTTTCCATGTTTCTGATATATTATCTTACCTGAAATGTTTCTCTGGGGCGCAAGCTTTGAAACATTCTGTATAATGATTGGTTAAATCTTGCTCAAAAAACATTTTCAAAATGGTGAGTAGATATCGACCTTGTTATTTTAAACAGAAAATTGTGTTTTTTGTTGCATTTTTGGACTACTCGAATTTTACTAAGGCTTTTATTAGTTCTCCCTACATTCAAGTTTAGCCGTTTTCGGAATAATTAAAAACTTTTTCGAAACTTTTTGGATTTGCACCTTCCTCTTTAAAAATCTGTATGTTATAATAATCTGACTTTGTGGGTCAAAACTGCAACTGCAAATTAGTGACAGTTCAAAGTGTCAAAATCAAGACACTAAATTGTGTCGTCAAAAATTATGTGTTCAAATGAATGTTCTCGCAGCCAATTTTCATGGACACACGAGAAACCAGTCGTATTTCTAATATCCCAGTGGCAAAAAGAACCAAAACTCAGCTGCGTATATTTCCTCTATCGTTGGATTCTTGCTGTTTTTTTTGTGGCAATTTTGATAATGAATTTTATCGAACCGGTAACTACTGAATCTCTTACTTTAATTTTTGGTGGAATATACGCCGTATCTGGTGCTTTGACGATAACTATAGCTTTCAATTCACCTGAAAGAGAAGAATCAAAAGGCAGAATTTACAAAACCTATTGGATGTTTCAGGAATTCGTAGCCAGTTTTTTCTTTGTATCCACTTTAACGTTTTGGAGTTTCCTTTACGATCCAAAGTTATATGGTTGTCGTATTTTGCGAATTCTTACACATGGTGTCAGTGTTTTGGTAACGACATTTGATTGGTTCGTAGTAGCGCATCCAATTCGGTTATTGCATTTCGTAACCGTAACCATTACGTATGCAGTAGCTCATCTTATCATGGGTCTCACCTCATATTATACTACGATTGATATGGATGATTCACTTACAGACACCATTTTCTCACACGCTTTGAAATGGGAAAAACCTGGAATGGCCGCTTTAATGATGATTGGAGCCACAGTGTTTTCTGCGATTGTACATTGTCTTTACTGGGGCTTATATAAGCTCAGGGTGTGGCTACATCACAAGTGCTATGAAAAAGAAGCTTTGGAGGAAACCCCAACTAATGCATAAGATGTACAAAGATTCAATAAATTATCCCAACTTGGATTTATAAAACCTGTTTCTACTTTTTAAACAAACATTTAAAAAATCAGATTTCTCTTAATTTTTTCAAATGTTTTAAAAAAAAAGTGTATTAATTTCTCATTGTATTAATTGCTCAAATATGGCCTCAATTTTCCAATATCCAAACACGTCTGCTATTTGCTTCTTATCGGCCTTAAGACATAAATAACTACTCTAAAAATTAAAGAAACAAAAATATTTCCTAAATCTTTTGGTGATTTTTGAAAGGCTGTAATTTATCTAAAAATGGTCGTATTTAGATTAAAAAAAAAAACTATTTTGAAGCTTTAAGTTTCTAGTTTTGAGAGTAATACAGGGTGCGCCAGAATTCGCGCCCCAGAGAAAAATGCCATATAAGGTAGGATACCAGGAACATGGAAAAAATGTTAAAAAAAAATTATCTATAAAAATTTCGGAGTTATGAGGGTTTAAAGTTTGCACTTTGACTCTATTTATTTCTGTTGGAAAAGTAATTTTCCAAGTTTTTTGCTATGGGCTATTAAAAGAGGAAACAAGGAAGCTGTATCCTAAATTGTAACTCTGTTCAATGTTATTTGTGGCTTTTATGGGCAAAATTTTTGTCCCTTTACTAAATAATTGTAAAAAAACATATACAAGATCATCAGTATCATTAAATAGATATAAAAAATGTCAAACGTCAAAAAATAAATGTCAAAATTTTTTGACAGATAGAATTTTTGAAATTTTTTTTTCATGTTCCTGGTATCTTAAATTATTTGAAAATTTTCTCTGGGGCGCGAGTTCTGGCGCACCCATATACAAGAAAAAAAATTCTAATTTTCTTGTTTTTGTTTTTGATCCACTGACGTCAGGAATTTTTTTTTAGTTAAGTCAACGCATAGGTCGGATAGCATGTTTGTTCACCTTCTTTAATACGCTTTTTTCATATTCTTTTTACGTCAATTTGTCATTAAGATATCTGACTTTAAATGAAAAAAGATCCTTTTGTTTTTGATCACCGATATCTCAGCAACCAATGACTACACAGAGAATATAAGGGTAGTGTCAAAAACTAGAATACCGGACCGATTGATCAAAGTTTTACAAAAGAATTAAAGGAACAATTGTACATATTGTTTCTGAACATTGTCTATTCTTTGTCAAAATGAGAAGAACAACTTTTTTCATCTTTTTTTTGCAATTTTGCATTAATTTTTAAAAAAATATC